TTCACACCATGAGATTCATGTCACAGCGGTTACCACCTACCTGAAATGGTGTGAAAAAAACATCGTCCTAGCTTTCGCAATGACATAAAGGCTATGGGAAAAGGCACATGGTAGACTTGCGTTCTTGCATTTTCTTGTAGTTTGATGTAAACGGCTTTAGGGGACGCAGCAACACTTGTGGTGAAAAGATATCATACATCATAAAAGCAGTGAAGCTCGCGGGGCTGTTGCACCCGCAACTTGGGGCTTTTCCTTCAGTTTCTTTTTACCTCCCTCCCTTCTTTTCATCATTGCGCATTTTTGGTTTGGTTAATTCACATCTGGAGTACAGCAGAATTGCATCATCCGCTGTTTTCGACGCAGATAATGAGGGCTTGGAGTGCTCTGCCGAAGGATACCGCGATGATCCTGTCGTTGATCTTCATCACATTTTTATCAGGTAAGAGACTAATATCGCTAATTGTCATTCCCCCGGGACACGAGGATATAATATGCTAATTATGTAATGAGATGGAAATTACGTGTAACACAGCAGAGAAACTAAAACGATCAAATATCAGCTCCTTAACTCTTACTTAACTGTAATAAACTAACAGATGGCTTTCATATCAGTCTGACCTAATCCTGATAAACTTGCGACAGTTTTAATTACAAAGTCATAAATAATGAGCCAATAAGGTTCGTTTTATTTACAAAACTCGTTTATAAGTCAGATTACAGTTTACGGATATAACTTTTTGACAGATCGTCCTCTGACACCTTCTGAAGATTAGAGATGTTGTTGTCCTTGAATTTGATCCTCTGCAGTGCTGTCCCTGACAAGAGAAGGAAAGGACTGAGACAGATCTAGAAGCAGACCTGTGCTGATTGTGGCCACATATAACATCAGTTTGACCAAAGTCCCAAAGAGGACCTGTGTGTGAAATATTTACTATGTATCATTATAAAAACAACTGGCAGACTGGTATCTGTCTCCACAAATTAATTTCCTCTTAACTAGAAAAAGTGATCAAAGTCTGACAGCATAGCTGCTTCACAATCAATCACCACTGTTGAGCTTAAAAAGCAATGTTTACACCGATCTGAATACCCATTAAAATTTAAGCTTTAGGTGTACGAATATAGACAATAACCCACCTAAATCTACCTCAAATAACTGGTTGTTCTTTGGTGAAATTATCACTGCTTTCTTAGTTATTTGTGTGCAAAAAAACAAAAAAACAAAAACTATATCTATGGATAAGCATATTTTCAAATGTTACAAAATAATCGGTTTTAGAATAACTGATTCATTGATTTGTGATAATTTAATGTGTGACAGTTTATCTTTGCAGCTGGAAGATTTAGAAGCAAATGTAAGTATTTCTTAAGCCACAAACTCCAATGTTTCCCTGTGACAACACATTATTCTTCATTTAGCTGTTATTTTCATTATTAAGCATTAAGTAGTAACCTAATTACTGTGCTTAGAAAAATAGACATAGAGGGGAAAATGCAAAATATATTTTATCTAAATAATAATAATCTTAATATCGATATAACAGATAGAAGAAGCAGAGTATAGTACACCAGTATCACACCCTATCTAAGAAATAAGCATTTGAATGTGTTTTGCATCACTGGCTTGCTAATTACTTTATTTTCTTGCTCCATGCTCAGTTCCGTCAGCTGCAAGATGTTTGACTATTTTATTGCACGTGTCATTGCATTCTCCGTGACACTGCCAGTTATGGTTGGAGGGTTCTTATCTGGCATAGATCAACTTTCATCTTCAAATTTCAGACTCATAGCAAGCATGATTATGTTGTAGTGCCCTGTAACCACTAAAAAAGAGCATGCACGTACATACATAAAACAGCGGTTTAAGTCAAGGTTTGCCTTTGTGACTAATATCATTTTATAAATGAAAGTGATAACATTTACTAATATATATGAGTGACTGATGCTTCTCTATGGTATCGCTGCAATTACAGTTAATTAAACAACAAAATCTGTTAAGCTATATAATGACAAAAAACACGTTGAAACATGTTTTCTAGTAGAACATGTTAGAGTGTGAACACTGGGCTCATTCAAAGTAATATTAACTCAGTTTTTGGTCAGAGTAAAAAATGTCATCAATCGTTCAGGCTCTGCAGAGGACTAGGATCAACACCTAGACCAGATGCCCCTCGAGGGCCGGTGCCCTTCAGTTTTAGATGTGTACGTGATCCAACACAGCTGATTCAAATGGCTAAATGATCTCCTCAACATGTCTTGCAGTTCTCTAGAGGCCTGGTAATGAACTAATCATTTGATTCAGGTGTGTAGACCCAGGGTGAGATCTAAAACCTGCAGGACACCGGCCCTCGAGGCCTGGAGTTGGGGACCCCTGACCTAGACTGTAAACGATTCACTAAAGCATAGCCAATAAACTGCACAGCAAAACTAAATCTCTAAATCATGTTGTTCATTTTGTTCATAATGTCTGTTGATATGTTGGCTGATAGTGAGACAGAGCAATGAGTTTACGTGCAAGCTTTATCGATAGGCAGGAAGCACATGTTCCCCGGGACTTTAAAAAAAAGTTTTAAATCAGCCAGATTTCTGTCTGATATACTCAAACATTTTGTTCAAGCAGCCCTTGAGCTAGTTCATGTTATAATTTTAATCAATGACACGCTGAAATTATTTCACTTTGCAGGTGTCTGTCCCCAGAGTCCCAAAGAAATACGTGTCAAGGAAGGGGAAATTGTGGCAGAGTTCTTCAAGGAGTGTGATCATAATGAAACACTCTGGAGAAGTTTCACCAAGCAGGGGATGCATCTACACAACAACACGCCTGCAGCTGAGCACAGGCAGATGGGAGTGATGGTTCAACAGGGAATCCTTGTGATTCTCAGTGCCTCTGAGAAAAATGAGGGAAACTACTCATGCTCTCTCAAGTAAGATACAAGCACTCCTACAGTAATAACATAACTGACCTTACTTATTATATGTTAAACTTTCATATTTCAGTGTATTTTCTTAAGCACGTGCATTTTTAATCTATGAGTCATTCAGGCAGTGATTTGTTTGCAGCAGATATCTCATTCACAGTTTTTAAAGCAGTAGCAGTATTTCAGGAAACTGTGTTTCCTCTGCTACTGCTGTGTGTCAGCAAGTTCATGGATGTGAAATTACAAAGTGCAGACTGTATTTAAAGGATGGAATTAGCTTTAGGCTCTGAATATCTCTGTGATAACACTGACAGGAATTCCAGCAAGTAGATTAGCCTCAAAATACACACTGAGCAGACCCAGAGAGCATGAAAATGGAAGGTGGGTTGTTTGGTACATGCTGCTATCCTGACCTAGAACATCTGGCAGTAAGATGCAGACCATTCAAATAGGTTAGGGAGTTCTGCTCCATCCTGATCGTAGCTGCCTATATTCAATGGTGGGCTAATGCTAAATTAGCACTGGAGGATCTGTACTGCCTGATCAACAGGCACATGAATGCAACTCCGAAGGCGGCTGTGATTGTGGTTCATGATTTCAACTATGTGGAACTAAAAGCAGTGTTTCCAAACTTCCAAATTGATAAACTTCCAAATCAAATCAAATCAAATCA